GTGTGTGTGTGTGTGTGTGTGTGTGTGTGTGTGTTTGAAGTACCTTTGAAGTTGCCTGGATTTATTAAGGTACCATACTGCAGCAACAACAACATTCAGGAAAAGCAAAGCACCAACTAGGGCCCAAACAGCAGAGCATGCACCTACAGACACACATGGAAAAAAAGAATATTGTGTGAATGAGGTAATCCTTTCTCTCCTTCATGGTGTTTTAGTCTTTTCAGACATTGTCCAAACACCATGCAGCACTTGTACCAAACATTCTAAAGCTTTTATGCTCTGAAAGGTTCTGAGACAAATGACCATGAAAAGAACTATTTGCTAGGACATGTTCTTCCAGTGATGGAGCTGACTTTAATATCATTTTGCTATGTGTGGAGCTTCACTCATCCATTCATTAACACTACGTTTAATGCTGGCAATGTCTTAAACCAACCACCTCTTTAAGCGGGCTGGTTTTCAGAAAAACATTAGAATGAAGAAACACCAGCAAAGGCTCAAATTAAAATTCAGAAAGATTTGGACAAACTGCACAGCTAAATCCAAGGTGACCTCACCTGATGCCACATGCACATAGAGCTGACCATGTTTAGTTCCATATGCATTAGATGCTTCACACTGATAGAGGCCATTTAGATCAGAGGTCAGACTCAGCAGTTGTAGCTGTGCACCGTCGACTTTGATAGAAGACTGCAGCAGAGTCTGGCCAGATCTGGAAAAACATGAACAAGGCTCAACATGAACTGTACAGAGGCAGCAGAATTTTATATATATATATGTTTTTCTTCTCTTAATTACTTTACCTACTCCAGATAAAGTTGGCACTTGGGTTGGATTCTGTCACACACTCAAATGAGTCTTGTGTAATCATTCTAATATTCACTTCTGTGGGAGAGACTGCAAAAAAAAAGACAGAAAACTGTGTTAATCCTGAATTGAGGACATAGTAATAATATCGAAATAATGTTTCACAAATGTTTGGGTCTCATTGCATCAGACAAAACAGTCAATCTTTTCAAGACAAAAACAGTAACAAGGTTGTGACTGGCTAATTTATAATCACCTTGATGATGAAAAAAAGAATATTACATTACATGGAAAATCAACCAGAAACAGGACCCCACAGTTGTACCATATCAATAACAATAATGCACTTCTGAATAAGCCTGCTTTTCACTTTCATTGCAACTTCCATTATTTTTGCTGATGGTGTGACCAGCAAACCTCCTCCTCTGCCATTTCCCATTTATATTCAATGACTTACGACTGGAAAGATAAATTACATTTATCTTAACGTCAAGCATGTCGGTCACAAATAACCTTTATACTTGACAAACAAATCTGAAACAGCTTTTGCTGTGACTTGGTGCATTATTGACCTCAATGGTTTTGATGGTATGGCATGTTATGGTTCCTTGCACGTGTGAATTAGATGGGTTGTTAATGACATTTGATGAGAATTTCATTTCAGTGGCACCTTTAGAAATATGTTAACTTAGAAAAATTGGTGATGTGTTCAATACTTATCTGCTGTGTGTGCGTGTGTGTGTAAATATGGGGACATTGTTGAAGTGACAGTGGTGAAAGAGAGAGTGATATCAATAAGTTTTGGAATTTGATAAATTTGGGACATTTAACAGAGTGTATTTTAGTGAATCATTAGTATGTAGTGTAATGAAAAAAAATTGAGGCATTGTTTGCATGTCAAAAGCTGTTATAGAACTTTGTCATTTGCTAAATTTGTCAATAATTTTCTGTTAAATCTAACAATTCATATTTGCATTTCAAGTTATAAAACTTAATTGTTAAAGATTTTTGTGGTTTGTGGCACTCACAGTAGACTTGTATGTTGAAGGGCAAAGTTTCTTCTTTAGTCAGGGAGTCACCACTGATGACACACTGGACCTGGTGACCGTTAATCTCTCTCGTAGGAACACCAAACAGAGAGCTGACTGTGGTAGTTGTATCGTTGTCATACTGTGTGGAGTTTGTTGTCATCCTCACTTTGTCTCCCAAAGCATCGGTGAGCCATCTCACCTCTGCAGGAGGCTTCGATCCAGCAGCCGTGCAGGTAGCAAATAAAACCTCTTCTGTGCCCAAAGTGGGAAGATTGTCCTTCACATTTGTGAAAGGAGGCACTAGGAGAGTTACAGCACTAAAATAAATCAAAATGCAAGCAAGATGGTGGAAGTAACTCTGTCTCTGTCTCACGTACAAGAATATTAGAATATTTGAAATAAAGTGTCTTTTCATACCAAGCAAGTTCAGAGGTATCTCAGTCTTCTGATTTCCACTGGGAAACAAGGTGAAGATGCACGTGTAGCTGCCTTCATCCTTCAGGGCAACGTTGGATAACTGGAG